TTTTTTTTTTTTTTTTTGTGGTCTCTTCCCCAGGTGTTTGTGATTTATTAGTGTTGCTTTATATGTGTTGTCCATCTACTCCTTATTTCTGCATTGTGCCTCCTGCGGCCAGGTGTGATTTCCTCCTGACTTCTTGTGATTCTAAGTATTCATAGTTTTGTTGTTAGTACCCCTGCCCCATCAGCAATTGAATTAGTAAATAATTGTGTTATCTTTGACCTCTTGAGTCCTGCAGACTTGGGTTTTACAAGCCATCCTAAATCCTGACAAATACATAAATCAAAAACTGTTAGTACCTTAAGCTTTAATTCAAAGTATTATCAATGCAACGATCACTTTACAAACATATTGTAAAAGGACCTGGGAACCAAATAGTTGGTATAGTGCAGTTAATGAATTTGCATTTCCTTAATACATGACTTTTTAGATTTTTTTTTCAGCTTTCGTCAGCTCAACAATCCTGCGTCCATGTGTGTGTAACAATGGCTGAATGGTTTTGTAAAGCACTTCCTGAACCATAAAGACAAACAAAGCAGTTGTTGTACCATCTGACAAACCTCTTAGATGCAGGGATGTATCGTGAGCACGTGTGTCCATCCCAGGCGCAGTAAGGGTCTCGTGCCAGGCAGCATTCCGCACAGGCTTGGCCATACAGGTGGCATCTGCTGAGAGAAACTTGAGCTAATCCCTCTCTGGATCCCACATAGAGCTGTTGCTAGAATGAAACAGTGTTGTTTTAATGTAGATAAAATCCAAACATACGTGCTGTAGTTAAGAACATCAAAACGATAGTTTGACAAGCCATCTAAGGATTTCTTGGTTCAATATATTTTTCACATATGGACTTTTGACTTTGTTGAAAGCACTAACAAGCATAGATGCAGACACAGGTCAAACTGTGCAGGAGAGTAATGGCTGCTGTGATTGGGGTTGAAGTGTCTACTGACACCCCTGACCCCGAGTTAATGAGACGGAAGGGTGAGAAAATAAGAACAGCTAAAGACAGAGTAAATCTGAATGCATGCGCTAAGGGTAAATAAAACAGTATGTCTTGTGACACATCAGGCATGCGTCACAAGACATGCTGAATGTGTGTGGTGTGAGTGCAGGCAAAGAACAGAGACATTGTGCAGACGCACGGGCAGAAACGATGAGAGCAAAGTGAGTGGCAAACCTGTTTAGAGGAAATCTCCAAAGTCACAATGGGAGAGAAACCCTGTGAACAAAGAGGAAAACTAACATCAACGTCTCAATAAACAACAATGTGTTTGAATGAGAAAAAAATGAAACAAAAACAAAGTTGTGACAATTATTTTGTTTGATAAATCAGCTACTCCGACAGCCACAAAAACATTCAAATCTGTTAAACAGTGTAAGTATTAAAGTGATAGTGCAGATGTCTTAAAGTTACGTCAGTGACAATGTTGGCACAACCTCAGTTTGGGAAAAACTAAAATAGTTACGTCCAAATTTTTGACCTAATTAATAATTAGTAATTGGTGAGGGGTCCAAACCAAAGTGAACTAAATTTGTGTTATTGCAAACATTAAGTTGTAGAATTATGTGTTTATTTGCGCGTGCAAATACCACCAGCAGCAGTTAACTGTAGCACTTCTGGTGCGTCCAGAAGCCAGTATAGACAGACTTTGTCATCCAAAACTGAGGGTTCTTTAAAGCTTTTTTAATTGTTATTAACGGGGTTCAAATGGACTGCTATACTTATTTTTGATGATTTGTTTGTTTCTGTTCTTAACTTTTTAATGTCTACTTCTCCAAACTGAGGTAATTCTAAGAACTATCCACAAAAGGTCCATGGCCTTTCTGCAGAACTCTTCTCCAAAAGATATGAACTTCATTGTCTAAGTGGAATAACATGTGTCAAAATGTGTGTCCAACCTGGAACACCTGAAGCTCCTCAAGAATCACTTCTTCTGTTGTCCAGTTCTCTTGAGTGATGCTCACCACCTTCAGAACTGAACCAGCATCTGCGGCAAAGGCAGGAAAAACAGTCAAATTAACCAAACAACTTGACGTATATCATATTGATTTTATTTGTGATTTGTATTTTTATTGTATATAAATTTATTTAGTTATTTTTAAAGAAACAAATAAATTTATCAAGAACAAGAACATATATTGTCATTCAGAGGTGAGTCAATTTCCATCTGCCAAAGCTTTCTGCAATTAAAGTGGGTAAACTGGGGGAGGAGCCACAAAGGACAAGAAAATGTGAAAGTGTTTCAGTGTTTAATCACATTCATAATTCAATCTTCATCAGTTTTTTTATGGCCAAAGATCAAAAAATAAAATCAGTTTGAGGGGTTGACTCAAAGTCGTCCACTGCCCTCTGCTGGTCAACAAGAAACTTTAAACACATAAATATGGGAGATGAGGAACATCTTACCTGTTCCCAGGAACATTACTTCATACTGTCCATCATCTGCCACAACTCTGTCCACCACAATGTGGGTCAGGGTGTAATCCACTCGAACACGTGTAAACACAGGCCGGCTGGTCAGAGGGTGCACAGAGCGTTGCATCAAAGGATGGGATCGAATGAAGCTGATGACTTCATCTGGAAAGTCTTTGGTGGTCTTGATCCTTGGGTCGTATGTCTTGCTGGGGCACTGAGGAGCAAAACAAGCAAAGTTTGACCTCTTGTTGACTGAAGGCAGTATTTTCCTGTCAGTTTTCCCAGTAGTGCTTCTTAGAAGATTCACTGGTGTGTGTCTCCTTCTTGTGGTCTAAATAAAAACTGCAGAATGCAAAGACAATGTGAACCATCTGTGTCATGCCTGCATTCCCCTTTCTGTGTGTACCATAACTAATGAGGACTTGCTTGCTTGTACACCTGGAGTTTATGCAGAATCAAATCCTCCATGTATCCTGCTCACTTGCCTGATTACAGTATTTATACAACATGACATGTAAACTCATCAAAGTCGTGATTAGGTCATTAATAATGAGGCTGTGTGGACAGATAATAGTTTGCCCTGCAGCTTTTTTGGAATTTTATCCTTTAATCCACCATTTTTCAATTAGTTCATGTTTATTTTTTGGTCATTTGAAAAAAAAAGTTGTATATATTCCTGATTTATCCAAACATAATCTAATACTAAATAAGATACAATGTTGCTTATGTGTGCTCCTCCATGAGGGAGATTTATTGTTACTGATTTATTGACTTACTGTTCCAGGACGAGGGTATGGTATTCTCCCCTCATATTCTACCCATCTGTGGTCAGGCCCTTCCTTGTGGGAGTAAGGTCCATTAAACGCAGCTCTTATGTCTGCCATGCTGTACACACACACTGCTGAACCACGGAAAATGGAACTGGAGGTAAAAACAACAAGTTCAGCCAAAAAGAAAAGAGGAATTCCACAGAAGGTGAACATGATGACGAGACAAAAACTGCAATACCTGGAAGTTGTGAAGACTGCGTAAACAACAGGGTTTTTGTCGTCTCTGGTAGGGAGCAGAAATATGTCCTCTTTAAAAGAGAAGGCAAGTGTAAAGGTTATTGTGTTGCCTTTCATTTTAAAATGGAAAGTATTCAGCTGCACTTTTCTCCTCGTGAATTTAAAAACGGCTATCAGCACAACAGTACCAATGCTAAAGCAATTCGGTCCTCTAATAAACTGCTCACAGAATGCCACTTCTACAAGATAAAAGGCAGTTTATTGGCGTAAATCACTTTTTAATCACACAGTCACTTACGGAGCTCATCAAAGTGCGTGTCCACGCCATCTGGTCCAGGAATAGAACACACAAGCCTGGATTTGAGGAAGGTTGTCCATTTATTGGTCAGGCTTCTCAGCCCGCCAACATCATTCTGAAACATAATCACATAATAAAAAATAAAAAAACCACAGTCAGAAAACTGCAAATGACCAAGAGACTACTTTGTACCTAACTGCAGCCCAGATGTACTTTAATCAGTGAACTTGAACATAGAAATGATAAATGGACTGTACTTCTATAGTGTTTTTCTAGCCAACCGGGCCACTTAAAGTACTGTGCCTTTATTTACCCATTCACACAACACTCTACTAAATCTCTATTGGGGGGGGGGAATAACCTTGCCTGCTAAGAGGTTGTAAAAATATAAATATTCCAAATAAAGGTTTGTAACTATTCACTTTATTCTTGTATTTTGATAAAGGGATAAAAGTGTGTCTTTGGATGGGGTGTTCCTTTGGTGTTCTGGAAAGGTTAGCATTATGCTAGTGGTTTGCTATGGGGTATACTGTATTAGCAGCTAATTTGCACAATGCTAACACTTTTATTCTTGCACAATATTGATTAATATAGATATGTTTTGGATTCTAGTGTTTTAAAGGAGTAAAATAATGGTTTATCTAAGAAAGGGGTCTTTGAGTAAATTAGACAGACAGACAGATAGACAGACAGACAGACAGGCTTGGCACAAAATAATCTTGCAACACAGCATCATATTCCCCCCTGTTACAGCTACTTAGTAAGAGCTGTCTGGGTTGTTTTGGATAGTAAATCAGAAAACTGTGGATAGAAACTAGGTACTTCCTTAGCATGTGTAGTGAATTACCCTATGAAATTTAGGACCAGCCTAACC